GTTTTTCTACTTATATATTCATGACTATAATATTCGAAAATCAAATAAAACACTTTAATAATTAAAATAGAATGTTCATGATTAATTTGGTTTGTCGGTTTCTCTTTTTTTTTTTGTTTTTCCCGGTTCGATCTGGTTTTAGTAGAACATAATTTATGGTAAAATAGAACCCAGGGACTTGTTTCTCAGTTCTCGCTGCCAGAATCGCAAATAAATCGGCGAGAAAGAAAATGTCCGGCAAGTTAAAACCCTAGATTCTCTCACCGGAGTTAGTGTCCTTATCTTCCCAGTACATGAACACGTTCAGATTCGGAACCCTAATCCGACGCACTACTTCTCAAATTTCTTCACATCAATTCCTTGGCTATGCCAAATCCTTCGCCGGTATTCCGAAACCTCGTTTCTTCTCTGACTTTACGGACGGCGAAAGTGCGGTTTATCACCACGCGCGTTTGTTCAGGAAACCACTATCTACCCAGTTCAAGTTTAATCAGTCAAACTCCATAAGCCTTATGGGTTTCGTTGATCGACCTGTTCGAGTCCTTGACAACACTAAGCCAGAGAATTTCGGTGTTTTCACTTTCCTTAGAGTCAAAGACCCTCGCAATCCTAACCGGAGCTTTAGGTCAGGTTTGTTCGATTCTCGTTTCCTATGTAAACACTGTTTTGTTCTTGACATTTGCATAGTCTACGACTAGTGTTTGCAATAATGCTTGATCCTGCTTGGTTCCAATCTCTGCATCCTGTCTTGTTCTTAAGTTTTGTGATTGTCAAAGTGTTAGATTTCCAATAGGACGAGCTATACATTCATTTTGAGGATTGATGAGAGTTCGATTCTGATTGCAAATTAGCATAGCTCGAAACATTTTTTATCCGAAGGAATGTCTCCACGGTTTCGCCTTTCCTTGACTTGAGTTCTTAACCTGTAGCAGTTGAGATTTGAGAATTTGTAAATGTGGTATAAATTGAATGACAGGATGCCTCTTCGAATGTGGGATGGGATTGCACGGACGTGTATTGCACATCTGAAGCCAAATGATTTCATACTTGTCACAGGCCGGCTGATTTCTTACAGCAAGAGCTCTGGTGATGAAGATAGAAGCATAGAATTAGATTACCAGGTTCGTGTTTGTTCTTGACCTTAAACACTATCTCCCACTCCAGACTTAATACATGTCCAAGTCATGTCGTTATCTACAGATTCTTTTGTGGTTTCTGATAGATATTGGAAAGTTAATGTGTTCGTATTTATGATTTACTTCACATATTAAGAGACGATAATGAAGAGTTGGGAGGGATGGGGAACAGATTTACTCGTGGATTACCAAACGCTTTGGTTTTGTTCTCTGTCTTTTTTTTCTCAGTATTGATACATAGTAAGTTAGTGCAGGTTAAAGTGACAGAGGTAAATTATGTGGTGGCTCCACCAAGTTACGTCTTAGAATCTCCGATATCAGGAAAATCAACATCAGAAACAGGTTATTATTTCTTCTACTCGTCATCGGTCTTGTTAGTAAATTTGAAGCTGAATAAATCCACATTAATTAAAAGAACCTTGTGCCAAGCTGTGTCCACATTGAAACATATTATATCTTCTGGTTTGGTTTTCTGGTTTATAAAGAAGTTTCATTTGTTAGTTTTTGAATGCCGACTTTCTAGAGTTTACGAGAAAAGGTCATAAATATTTCTCCCTGACGACATTACCTTCTGTGTTCTTTTGGTGTTTTTTTTAAATGGCGAGAAAAGATGGAATAGAAGAATCCAAGGATGATAAGATATACTTGTGGCAAGTCTTCTTTGCGAATCCATACGATTGGTGGGACAACAGGAGAAATAAGAAAAACCCTAGGCAGCCTGACTTCAAGCATAAAGATACACGTGAAGCTCTCTGGCTTAACTCAGATAAACCAGACTGGGTTACAAGACAACTTGAATTGCTCGACCAGAGAACAGCAGAGAAGAGCTGCTATGATGATAAACGAACACGCTCTGGCCGTCTTTCCGACTGGATTTAGAACAAGAGGTTTATGGGATATTATAAGTGTCTCTCAGCATCTTAATGCTTATCATCTTGTGAGAGTTGGAAGATGAAAACTCTTTAGGCGTCCCCATGAATTCTGTTATAGTAGATTTTTGTTGCCAACAATATACTCATAATGCCACACTCCACACATAGAGCAAAGTTCTAGTCATATGTCGCAACTGTTACTGTTCTCGTATTGCAAAAAACAAAATTGTGTTGCGATAAATCTGTTGTGTTCAAACTTCAAATCAAACTAGTCCAACTTTTGGTGTGTCTGTATTCCTTTATATATAGCTTACGTCTGCCCAAAAACAGAAGAAGCTGTAGTTCAGGATATATAATTTTAATTGAACCACCAGAACTGCAGCTATTAACTTGGTCCAGTGCTGAGTAAATTCATGGGTCAGTGGATGACCACCACTGTTCGAATAGCATGAATCAAAGATGGACC